TTAATACAATTAGAAGTAAAATATTTCTGCCATGAATTGGCATCAATAAAAAAAGACAGGGACTTTTCAGAACTTTGACTTTATTTTCCATTGACAAACATGACATAAATAACATACATTTATTAAATACACAGGCTAGCTATAATTTGTATGCCATCAAATTTCTAATGTACTTTTCATAGTCTTTTTTTATATTGTGTCTCCACAGTATTGAAGACCAGCTTCTAAATGCACTGATAGATACATTTAAATATAGTTAAGATTAACTCACAAAATATTTTTACATAGTGGTGACAAATGTATACTTTGCCATTTAACCAAGTGTGTAGGGATGGGAGGCTGAGGAGGAGAGGTGGAGAAACTTATATTTTCTATACTGAGTTTTACATTGTTGATTAAGTTGTCAATGATTTCAGTTCTTACTTAAACAAACCATGCAAATAGTAGTACATACATTCATTGGTTATAAACACATCAAGATAATCAATGCTAATTTTTAATTTGTTTTCTTAAAGAAATATTCAACCCTGTGCTATTTGTACAAAACATTTGGTCAAAGAAGAGGGAGAAGGTAAAATATTTCTTTTTTATATGTAGATACAGAGAGAGAGACAGACAAGCAGACAAAGAGTAAGAAGTGCAAATGGTTAAGCGCTGACTACTATTCGAAAGATCGATGCTTCTAATGCACTCAGAGCCTCCTCAGAAAACTGGCCTGGTGATCTGCTACTGAAAGGTCACAGCTTGAAAACTCTCTGGAGCAGTTCTACTCTGTACTGTGGGATCACTATGAGTTGAAATCAATTTTTAGCAGCCATTGATGAGCCCTGGCCACTCCTCAGTTTGTCCTACTGATGCTCAAGTTTGCAAAGATAAATGTGGCCCCGTCCTTCTTTGTTTCTGTGGTATGGTCTAAAAAGATGAATTGTAACAGGGTGGAAATGTACAGGTTTTTGGAAATGTACAGGTTTTCCTCCATACCTTTCTCTTATGTTCTCTACCCCACCCCACCCACATACCTATGCCTCATGAGCACTCCTTTCAAAAGTAGAAAGAAAATTGAAATGTACCAGTAAGACTTATGTAATTTTTTTCCTGCTTAACATTACTGTTTTGATTTCCACAGAAACTGAAAACGATATAAAGATCTATTTTCAAAGTCTGACAGTTGACTAGCTTTGGCTAAATATCTAATTAACTTTAATTGAAGGACTAAAATATTCTAAATGCAAAGCAATCAACAATGGATGTAAGAAGCTGCATATTTGAAAATAATTTTGGAAGTGGGATTAGCTCCAACATGCTCAAAAAATGTGAAAAGGCTGATGTGTTATGTTGGTCATATGTATCCTTCCTATCCTTATTCCTGTAATAAAATTGTTTGGTCAAAAACCAAAAACTCAATGCTGTCGAGATGGATCCAACTCATAGTGACCCCTCCTTGGGTTTCCGGGGAAGTATCACTACGGAAGTAGATTGCCCCATCTTCCTTCCAAGGAGTGGCTGGTGAGTTTGAACCGCCAGCCTTCTGGTTAGCAGTCAAATTCCTTAGGCACTACGCTACCAGAGCTGATCAAAAGCAGACTTATTAAAAAAAAAAAAAAAATCAGATCTATTTTACATATTTTGAGATGCTGACATTTAGATTTAGAACTATTAAGTTTTTCTCTCTCTTCTTAAAAACAATCACAGCTTCATCAATAACAAATATTTCTGATCCTTTCTCCCTATAAGATTGGATAATCCTGTTGGGTAAGGGAGTTTGAGTCAAACAGTCTCATTCCTAGAGAAGAAATATATAACCCAGTAGACTTTTAGGCTGTTCATTGTATGAAATGGATTGGTGCGAAATTCCTGAAAATAAAACAATTTTCACCTAAGGAAACCTTGTTCATTATCAATAAAGACAATAAATAGCATATAAATGAGAATGATATATCTGTTTAAATTGTATTTCCATAGACTTTCTTAATGTACACTTCTTATGATATCAAAATAAATAAATAAACTAAACTTGTATAAATTATTTGCCTTTACATAGACTAGCCTTCATTTTAGGAATTATAAAGTAGATATGTTGTAAAATAACACTTCTACACTCTTTCACTACTCAAAAGAGTAGAAAACAGGGTCAAATGAGAAAGTAAATGTTGAGTAACATGTTCTGAAAATAGTTTCCCATCTGATCTGAGTTAAGGCAGCATTTCCTGAAATATGCTTTAGTTCTACCTAGACTTGTCAAGTCTGTCATAGAAGTGTATTGTCTCAGTCTTGCCTTTCTCATTTTGAAAACGAAATCACCCTGGGCTACTTTCTTACTTTCTTCAGTTACACTCAAGATGAACTCAATCAAAAAAAAAAAAAAAAAAAGGCATTCAGGAAAGTCACCTGAAAGATTTTATTTGATAACTATAAATTAATTCATCACAAAATGAATGCCATGTGGTGGGGATAATTCAAGTAAATATAAATGTTCACATAAATGAGCATTTGCACAAATGGTACCAATATAATGAAGTTTTCATGCAAATAGTTTTCCTAATTCTCTATTTCATGCTTTATATGTAGTCTTTATCTGTAAATTTCCTTAGAATACTGTACTGGTGTTAGTTTCTTAACCAATGTGTATGTGAGTTTTAGGTTGATTTTCAAATTTTATAAATTGGTTCTATCATAACCTATGTTACAAAACATCAGCATTTTATTACAACCCATAAAACTACCCTATGGACTTAGCCACAGTATTAAATATTCTTCATGTGAAAATTATATAATCTCATTCACTGTACAATTCTATACATTTGTTTACATTTCAATTTTGGCAGATCTTGACATATATGCAATCACAAAACAAGTAATTAAAAAGCAGGTGTGAAAATCTGGCATGGTTGATAGCCTAAATTTTTTACATTAAAAAACCATAGGTATTGTAATTATTCCAATGAAGCCTTTAGTATGTTATTTGCATAAATATTCTGCAGTCTCTGTGTCACTCATCTTCTAATTCCCTTCTTTAAATAGAAGTTTTTGAGATAATATGAAAATAAGCAAGCAATATATGTGCCTAAAATTTTCAAATAAAAAAAATTTTCTATTTTTTGTCTCTGATTTAATCTCAATCAAAACGAACTATCAAATGACATTTGGTATGGAGAAAGTTAAAAACAAATCACCAATTAAGGATTAAAAAACAACAAAAACATAAAGCACATTGTTGTTGTTGTTGTTATGTGCCATCGAGTCAAACCCGACTCACAGTGACCCCTCCTTGGGTTTCCGAGGCAGTATCATCACTACGAAAGTAGATTGCCCAACCTTCCTTCCCAGGAGTGGCTGGTGGGTTTGAACTACCAGCTTTCTGGTTAGCAGCCAAATGCCTTAGGCACTATGCCACCAGAGCTCCCTAGAATATCTTGGAATACCCAAAACACTGCCATTAACTAGATTCTGACTCATAGTGACCCTATAGGCAGAGTGGAACTGCCCCCATTGGGTTTCCAAGAATATAATCTTTTCGGAGGCAGACTGCCTCGCCGTCTCCCATTGAGTGGCTGGTGGTTTCGAACCACCAACCTTTTGGTTAACAGCTGAATACCTAAATCACTGTGCCACTAGAGCTCTTATGTTGTTATACAATATTGGGTAACTTTTGTAAATCTTGAAATAACATATTTTGTTTCTTCAACTTAAAATAAAGACCTCAATCATTCTTGTTTTATTTGAAAAGTAAACAACTCTTGTTGGATAGCATGTCATCATTCTCTTCAGTCACAAAGCATTGCCATATAAATTCACTGTTCAGAAAATCAAGATGGCTTTGTAAAATCACTGCTGGCTTATTTTAAATACATTTTTCATACATTTCTTTAATCTTTTCCTTGTGCAGATATATGAATGGATAAACTAAGTATATGAGAGTGAAAGGTCAATAAACTTAAACTTGGAAACAGGCATGCCTTAGTGACTGCAGATGTCCACTTTCTAATCACATCTAGGGCCTTCACACATCTTTGAAGTATAGCCTCAAATATTAGTGAAAGGCTGACATTATTTGGGATTTTTACTTATTATGATGTTCTCCCTGGTCTAGCAAATAGCTGCCTTGACCCTAAAATTTGCATTCCATTTGCATAATTTCTTCCTTTTTTACCTCCTTTCCAACCTTGTTCAAAAACTGCCACAAATCCACTCCTACCATGTAAACCCTGGGCAGAAATTCCTTTTGTAGTTAAGGATAAGTCTCAGGCTCTTTTGTATGTCTGTATTTATGTGGTTTGATGAAAAGTGATATTCCTTTGACAGTAACCTCCATTACCATTTTGAAATATTAGTCTCCTAAATTATTAATACAAACAAAGCACTTTGTTGCCCAGCAATATGACACTACACATTTGAAGATAAATTGTGATTAAATAAACATAGATCATTCACTTTATCAGCTTTAGGGAATACAATGGCATGAAACACTTCAACTGTATGGCACATTTTATCACCAAGGCACACTTAGTCTTGGTGGACTTCCATTCATTCATACACTGAACAAGTATTTATTGGATATTTTCTATATTTCAGTTGCTATAGTAGATATTACAAGAAATAAGCCAATCATGCTCACATTACCCAAACCCATGCCACACCAAACATAATATGTGCATATACTGGATTATGATCAAGGGTCAGAGGACCACCCAAGAGATAAAGTCAGGTATTAAAAGATCATATAGGTACACTTGTTTTTTCTAAAATGGACATAACTCACATACCAAGTTCTATTGTCTGTAAATAGTGATAAAGTGAAATTCTTGGGTAGCTTTGTCTCCTACCTCATAACATGATCTGTAGGATATGCCAATGTTATGGGATACAGAGATTTTTATAATGGAGTTTGAGCACAGGTTATTTATCATATTTTCCAAAAACCAGACTAGTGAAACGATCATGAATTACATAAGCATTCTTAGCAGGCCTTTTCTTCTCATTCAATTTGATAGGTCATTTAAATTGATTATTTCCAAATGACTAGGTTGGTGTATACATTAAAATAATACATATATTGTAGCTGCTAAAATTATTTCTTCCCCAAACACTAAACACAAGGAAAAAAATGTAATTGTTAAAATGAAGTATAAATAAATTACAACTTAAAAAAAAAAGAGCAATAACATAAACAGCAAATTAAAATCTTCACAAGAAAGTGTTCAAAGATATTCTAAAATGAATGTACCAAAGGATATGAAGAGCATTTTGTGTAGGGCTAACTTGAAGGAACTTTGTGTTTGTTAGGGAGACTTTTTTTTAAGTGTAATTCCCAAAACTTAATGTAGTGATCTACTTGTGCTTCAAAGATGTCGTGCTTAACTATCAAGGTCTGTAAAACAGTGGACTGTAGAGAAAACATTCACAGAGGCAGGACTGTGAGAGGGTCAATATCATTAATTTTCTTATCCTATAAACAGGCTGAAGGAGCTCTGGTGGCACAATGGTTAAGCACTCTGTTGCACACGGAAAGTTGGCAGTTTGAACCCACCAACCACTCCACAGGAAGGAAAAAGATGAGGCAGTCTGCTTCTGTAAAGATTTCAGACTTGGAAATTCTGTGGGGCAGTTTTACTCCATCCAATAGGGGTCACTGTGAGTCAGAATTGAATCAATAGCAGTGGGTTTGGTTTGATTTTTGATAAACAGGCTAAACTGTGGAAAGTCTTTATTATACCTTCCAAAATATTTGTTGGTGTTAGAATCTTTAATATGTCTTTAAACATCCAAGAAACTGTAATATATTTTTGAAGGAAAAGTCCCAGGACAAAATTAGCCAAAGTGGCTATTTAGTGTTCAAATCTTTAGTATTAAAGAGCGTTCAGAAAACTCATGTCACTGACTCTAAAAGATCAGCTTCATGAATCTGTTCCAGGCTTGTAGGAATACAAAATATATTCAAAAGGAAGAGCATTTAACAATGTGGACAGTCATAAAATAAACCACATTTGAAACAAAATGGAATTGGCTCTTATTTAGTTAATGAGTTCATCTATTACCAAACTTGTTTCAGAAAAAACAAAACTTAAATTTTGTAGATTTAGGAGCTAATTTGATATAGTAAGCAATATATAAATAAGATCATGCAATGAATATTTTTAATACATTATAAATTTGTTTTCATCCCAATTTAACCTTTTTAAAATGTAAGGAGAAAGTGACACAGGAGAAAAGTGAGAGTGAGTGAAAGAGAACACAGAAGACCAAGGTCCTTGGACACAGTTATCCCCTTGTCTGTGATGATATATTAGGTTAAATCTTCACATTCTCAGTATACTGGAATATTAATTATCGCCCCCTTTACTCCCACACAGACCAAGGTCATTATTTAAAAAAAAAAAAATATATGTTCATCACAGAAATAATCACATTTTCAGCTACATATGGCAGAGACCCAAAAACACTAGACTGTTAATATATTTTCCTTTGTTTGTGTTTCAGTATTTTTGGCATGGAGGCAAATATCTATGCTTCTGGGCCCATTTAGCCTTATGTCAAAGATTGCACTTTGATGCATAAATGGTGGCATGCAAGAGATGCCTAAATTCACAATAATATTTAGGGCTATATGTTGCCAAAAACTGTGAACATTCAAGTATTCCCTTTCATGCTCCTGTATGTATTATTTCATTGGATAATGAAATAGGTTGCCCTTTCTGTCCATCATTAGAGCAGCTGGAGACAGCATTTGCTACCTGGCAAAACTTTCGAAGAAGGATCTTTCTTAGCAGCAGATAAACCCACGGATCCAAAATCTGGTTCAGTGAAGCCAGCCGAACAGCTATTAAGAAGAAATTGCATTCTTTCTGCTTTTCGTCTCGATTCTTGCAGTGCTCAACTGATGTCTGATTGAAGATCATTTTCAACATCATTATCTAAGAAAGAGGGACAAATAATTGTTTCAAAAATTTATAAGGTCCTCGTTTATACAATATTTTACACATAGTTGTCTTTCAATAAATTAGTTCCTAGATTTAAATGATTGATTCAAGCAACAGTTATACTCATAGAACCCACTGTCTCTGAGTTGACTTCAACTTAAAGCAATTCTATAGGATAGAGTAGAACTTACCTATAGGATTTCCAAGGCTGTAATCTGTACAGAAACAGACTGCCACTTCTTTCTATTAAAGTGTGCAGTGGGTTTGAACCGCCAACCTTTCAGTTAACAGCCGAGCACTTAGCCACTGTGCCACCAGAACTGCTACTCAGAACACAACCCTATATTATACAAGACATTCCTAAAGATTTTCCCACATTTTTGGCAATTTGGCATGATGTAGCTAAAAAGTCTATGTTCTCAGACTCTTGCTGTGAGGAGTTTAAGAAGCTTGAAAATAACACATCTCAAAATTAACCAAAGATGTCTGTCTTGTTTCAGAAAAACACTTGTGAGTTAACAGACCCAAATGAGAGCCAGCACTTCAAAAATAAAGTGGAATTGGGTATATTAGTTTGATATTAGAAAATATTTATTCTTTTAATTATCCTTGTTCTGTGTCTTTTTTTTACTGCCTTGCCTTTTGATTATGACTGGTCCCAGTGGGAGCTCTGGTGGTGTCGTGCCTAAGGCATCTGACTGTTGACCAGCAGGCTGGTGGTTCAAATCCACCAGCTACTCCTCCAAAGGAAGATTGGGCAATGTACTTCTATAGCGATACCGCCTCGGAAACCCAAGGAGGGGTCACCATGAGTCGTAACCGACTTGACGGCAGTGCGTTTGGTTTGGTTTTTTTGGTGGTCCCAGTGTAAGTAAGTCAACAGGAAGCGAGCGCACAGGTGATAGGATATGTAGCACTGCCAATTCTCCTTATGTAATTACTAATTTTGTTTTTAAAATATAGATATAGATAAAAAGACAGGCAAGTCAATAGACAGACAGACAGGAGAGATTGGAAAAAGTTACATGAAAATGCTTAGCAGGCTCTGTGTAAGCAGTGCCTCCAGACATCTCCTTTTTTGTCTTATTGAACAGAGTTGGCTCAGCTTATTCTTAAACCAATAACTGGCAAAAGGGACAGAAATTTCCAGGTTTGACTTATTAAACTTGTTCATCTCCTGGGGTTTGACTCAAGCTCCTTGGCTAAATTACCACCTAATGATTAGACAAAACTATGGTTCCATAAACAAAGAAAAAGAGGGCAGTGGGTAGGAAACCAGTTGATAGTCATGTATCCTGACTCTGTAATTTCTCTCTCGGAACTTATTCCAAGGAATTAATTTTAAAAAAAATGTTATACAAGTAAATGAATATTTAGAGAAATATTATCTGTTAGTAAGAAACAGTAAATGTGTAAATCTCTAACATTAGGAGTGAAGCTTAATAAAATATGACCTACTCACATATGTGACAGTGTATGTGAGTGAAGTTAAAATTGCAAGACACAAAATAATATCATGCATATAAAGTTATAGAGATATTATAATAATATTGTATAAAATGCATAGACTTATTAAAAATAATGCAATTATTCATATTAAACAATAATCATAAAATTATTGTTTAAGGTTTCTACACATAAAACACATTTCAAATGATCTAAGAAAATAATTTATTCAAAGGTAGTAGATAATTTTTCCCTTCGTTAATAACTACAAATCACAGTATAGCAAGTTTAAGGAGCTCTGGTGGTGTAGTGGTTAAGGCATTTGGCTACTATGTGGTTTGAACCCACGAGCTTCTCCATGGAAAAAAAAAGATGAGGCAGTTTTCTTCCATAAATATTTACAGCCTTGGAAATCCTACAAGGGTCACCATGAGTAAGAATCAGCTCAATGGTAGTGAGTTTGGTTTGGCTTTATATAGCAAGTTTACTTAAAATAAGTATCTTCTGATTAAGGCTTAGAGTCCTGAGAACAGAATATTTTCTCCACTGTGGTAGGCAGAATAATAACCCCTCAAAGGTCCCACATCCCAATCCCTGGTACACATCAATATGTTACTTTAAATGGCAAAAAGGACTTTGTTGACATGAACAAATTAAGGACCTTGAGATGAGGAGAGTATTCTACCTGGGCCAGCCCAATCTAATCACATGAGACTTAACAGTGGACAAAATCTTTCCTGACTAAGGTCTGAGGGAGATGTGACTACAGAAGAATGATCAGAGATGCAATGTTGCTGCTTTGAAGACAAAGGAATGGAGCCACAACCAAAGAATATGCGGCCTCTTGAAGCTGGAAAAGGCTTCCTTAGGGCCTCTAGAAAGGAACACAGCCCAGTCAACACAATGGTTCTAGCCCATTTGAGACCCACATAAGATTTCTAACCTACAGGACTATAAGAGAATACATTCACATTGCTTTAAGCATGAAGTTTACAGTGATTTGTTACAGCAGCCATGGAAAACTAATACACTCACAGTGAGCTATCAACAAATGTTGAGAGTAGATGGGGGAGGAATGCACTAGAAAACAATTTACTCTCTCTCATAAATAAAACATCCTAGTAAACTTGTTCATATTGTTCACTTTCTTAGAACACTTTTTTTTTTGTAATATAAATAAAGTAAAAATAAATTCCTGCCTGAATTATCTCATATTCTCAATTTGCAACTAATGAAAATGAACGACTGGTATTCTAGTGGCATCAGTTAGATTTCAATGTGTCTGACTAAAAGGTATAAAATTAATATTTTCAATTAAGTTGCCTTGTAAGGAAAACATATGCCTGTTACTTCTTTTTTCCTCTCCTAATAAACTATTGAAAAGTTTTGTCTAGCTCTCTTAGCTATGTTGCTGTTGTTGTTGATATGTGTCATCAAGTCGGACCCGACTCATAGCTCTTAGCTATATACCTCAATAAGCAGTTAAATGTATTTGACCACTTAGCATGATCCAGGAAGTATTCTGGGCTTGGTCTCAAGTGATCAAAAAACTTACTTATATCACATTTTCATTTGTTTTTATAAAACTTTTTATTATTTGGAAAATTTACTAAGTAGCTTATTAAAATAGGATTGCAAATCACAGTACAGCAAGTTTAAGGAGCTCTAGTGGTGTAATGGTTAAGGCATTTGGCTACTATGTGGTTCAAACCATGAGCATAGTGTGATTCTACATAGCCCTCCTTAATTATTCTACATTAATTATTTTATGACATTAATATTGGTTTCATATGCCTTATGTTGTTTAATACATGGTAATTTCCTATTGACAATGCAGTGATTATGAAATTATGAAACCAAGTTCTGTAAGCAATAGCTGGCACAAGATGAGATACACTCTAGATTTTCCCAGAAATCATGTGAAGTGTAAGTACGAAGATAATTGGAATTGATACTGCCATTTCAAAATGACATCAGGATATAAGCAGAGATCCAAATTCCTAGTCTATTTCTGAACATAAATAAAAATTAGCACCCATCAGTTGAATTCCCTATGTTTAAAGAGCTAAATAGTGGTTACAATTTTTCTATATTTTGCCAATATTTTTTAAAGTGCTCAGATTTAGAGGAAAGTCCTTGGAAAGTATATGTAGTTTTCTTACAGAATTAATTATCCCTGTTAGTCCAATGACTCCTTATGCAGGGGTCCCTGGGTGGCACCAACAGTGAGGTGCTCAGTTACTAGTCAAAAGGCAGGAGGTTCAAACCCATCGAGAGGTGCCTCAGAGGACAGTTGTGGAGCTCTGCTTCTTAAAAGTCACAGCCTTGAAACACTTATGAAGCAGTTCTACTCTGCACATATGGGGTTGTCATGATTGGAACTGACTCAACAACCTCTTATACAGAGAAAAACAGAAAATTAAAACGGGATGCCCAGCTAGCACAGGTTTACCAGGTGTTGTTGTTCTGTGCCGTCGAGTTGGACCCAACTCATAGCGACCCCCTCCTTGGGTTTCTGAGGCAGTATCACGACAGAAGTAGATTGCCCAACCTTTCTTCCGAGGAGTGGCTGGTGGGTTTGAACCGCCAGCCTTCTGGTTAGCAGTCAAGTGCCTTAGGCACTATGCTACCAGAGCTCCTTTGGTTTACCAGGAGGTAAGCCTATTTTTTAGCAAATGCACATATACTTTGAGCTATTGCTTCTTCTGAGAAGCCTTATGTAATTATGTGGTCAAGAAAGTGACTATTCTAATTCTGGCTGAACAGAGCTGCAGCTTGTCTGCTAGCATCTTCCCCAAGCTCTGTGTGACACTCCCGGCCCCTCTTGTCTCTCCCCTGGTTATCAGCAGAAGTAAGAGCTTTTTTTGTACCTGCTGATAAGCAGGAACACAACTACTTCAGTGACCCCTAAATTTTCCACCCTTGGCTAGTGTCAAGTCTAATTACCTTGTTCTATCCTAAAAGGAAAAAGATATTTTTCCCTTACCTCAAGATAATGTTATTTTAAATGTGCAAAGAATTAATCAGGGAGACTTGCAAATATTCTACATTTGGATTTTATTTAATTGTAGCAGGGCTTATACATTTAAATTTTTTCAGTTATGTTACTTCTTGGTTCAAAAATGTCCTGGAATATAGGCTACAAATGTCTACTAAAGATGATAAATGAGTAAATTCAGGAAAATTAATTTGTGGGGAGAGGGGATAAAGTTAGTTAGCTGCACTTTTACTCATTATGTGGTTTTCATGCATTTCCAGAGTATTCCTACTGTATGTGTTTAAGAAGATTTTCCTCACAAGCCAATTTTTATCTGTGATGTTTGTTTTTTCATAATTCTCTGTGTTAAGCTATGGTAGAATAACCTGTTCTACTGGAAATTTCCCCTAAAGTTTGATAAATGTATGACATGATAATCCACTGAAACCAGTTTGAGCCCTTTTGAGCTGCTTAATTACATAATTTAAAGTATAATCATGGGAAGACATATCACTGTGGATTTCTAAAGCAACTGTAGTCTTTCTAGTCTGATTACAACTCTCTTCTCAGG